ATGGAAGGAGGTTCCTGGGATACTCCCCAAGTTAGTCCCTGTGTCAGTCAAGACAGGCATTCAAGATCTGGGTATTTTAAAAAAATATAAGTGAATTTCAAGATGTTACTGGAACAAACAAGGTCCACTATATGCATACCTGCTAACTCTTCCCTCTTTCTAAGCTGGCATGAAGCGTCTAAAACTGGTCACATAACCCTGCCTCCTAATGCATTTTATGTCCTACGATTCCTATCTATGTGTTTTTCTCTACAGTACTGTTAAACTTGGTTAGCTTCAATTTTGCCAGTAGTAAAATTAGTTGGGTGAGGCTGGAGAGAAAGCTCAGTGGTTAAGAACACTGACTGCTTTTGCAGAGGACCCAGGTTCAGTTCCCAGCACCCACATGGTGGATCACAACCAGCTGTAACTCCAGCTCCCAGACATCTGATGCCCTCTTCTGGCATCTGTGGGCAGTGAATGCACGAGGTGTACATATATACACACAGTCAAACTCTCATACACACAAATGAAAAATAAATCTTAAAAAAATTATTTGGGGCCAGGCGTGGTAGTGAACATCTTTAATCCCAGCACTTGTGAGGCAGAAGCAGGTGGATCTCTGTGAGATAGAGGTCAACCTGGTTACATAGTGAGTCCTAGGCCACTTGGACTTCATAGAGACCCTGTCTCAAAAAGACCCTCCTCCCAAAAAATTGATTGTGCAATGCTGACCTAAGACTGACAGTGGGTGTGTAGGCCTGGGAGTTTCAAAGGAGCCTGTTATTAAACTTATTGCTAGGGCTGGGGCTGTAGCTCAGTGGTAGAGTACCTGCCTAGAGTACATAAGGCAATCTAGGTTCAAGCTGCAGTAAAGCAAAAACTTAGTGCTGGAGGAGCCTCATGTGACTCTAAGGAAGGGCATCCCATCTCACCCTCAGACCATGAGCTGTGGGGCTAAGCAGACCTGGCTCCAATCTGGCCCTGCCCCTCACCAGATGCATGGCCTTTCTCCTAGTAAATGGGGCTGTTACTCCCACCTTGCAGGGATCCAATACAGGTCTGCTTCCCACAGGCCCTGGCAAAGGGGCAGCCATTGCTGCTATCACAACACCCAGTGAGTGGGGACAGCCATGCCCCTCCCTCTGTGTGAAAATCAACAGGACTCCAAAAAGATTGCCCAGCCAGGCCCAGGGCAGCTCTTCAAGGTCAGGGGTCACTGTCATTGACCAATAGTCCTGAGTGAACTAGTGGTCACTTGGGGAATTACAGGGATCTCCCTCCAGCACATGGCTGGAATCCAGCAGACCTAGGCCCAAGGTTCAGCTCTAGGCCCATCACTAATGACCGGGGAACCTGGGACAAAGAGCTGACTCCCAGTTGGCAGAGGGGGAGGAATGACTGGAAGGCCAAATTCAGGGCAAGTTTGGTGCCGAACTTCCTAAATGGTGCCTCAGAAACCTACAAGGGGACTTGGGAGACAGCCCAGTCAGTAAGTAAGTGCTGTGTAAGTACAGGGACCTGGGTTGGATCCTCAGAACCCAAATAAAAAAGCCAGACATGGTGGTATATGCTTGTAATCCCAACACTGGAGCCACAGGAGCACCCCTGGGGCTCACTGGCCAGGCCAGCCAGTCTAGCACAATCAGACAAACCCTACGTCAGTGAGAGCCCTGTCTCAAAACAAACACACAACTAGGTGTACATCATCTGAGGAAGGATGACACTTGAGTTTGTCCTCTGACCTCCATGCATGTGGACATGAACCAGCACATGCATGTACCTGCATACACAGAAAAACTTATAAGAAGCCTGAGTGTCACTGTTACACAAACGTGGAAATTGAGGCCTGGTGATTGGCTCAAGGCCATGAAACTGAGTGAACAGCCCCATTGTCACATGGGATAGAAGCCTTACTGAGCCACTGCCCCGGGACAATCCAGGAAACACTCTGGAAGGATGCATGACTTTCCCAGGCTACAGCAAAGTCAGATCAAGTGAGCTGAGCCTCAGTTTCCCTCCTTTATCATGGTGTTGACAGATTCTGGTTCACACACCGCACAGCTGTTAAGAGTTAAGGAGGTATGCAGATTGAGTCTTAGTTGGACATAGTGGCAATACCAACACTCGGGAGGTAGAGCAGGCAGATCTCCATGAGATTGAGGCCAGCCTGATCTTCATAGTGAGTCCCAGGCCAGCTGGGGCTACATACCTCATGCCTGACACACAGTGGATGAACAGTATGTTGTTGGTATGGACTGAACTTAAGGCTTACCCATGTGACAAGCCCATCCCAGGACTCATGGTACACAGGGGGGCCTGGCGATTTGCTGCCACACATTGAGGGTAATAACAGTGCATTTAGTGGCCCCCCCATGCCTGGTTTTGGCTCCCCAAAGCTCTGCTATTCGGTTGCCAGTTACTGTATTAACTTATTTGTATGTAAACACTTATCCCCCATAACCTTCTCTTCCCAGACATTCAAGATAATGATACCCAATCTCTGGAACATTGCAGACATCACTTCAGAAGCATTCTGTTGCTATAGGAATGTTTATGATGTGCTTCTCGCTAGAATTTCATGAGCCACCAATTCCAAAGTTGCAGATGATGTAGCATTTGAAGCTGGGAGTGAGGGAGGATGTGTGTTTGCATTAAAAAGAAAACAAGCCTTTGAAAGGGGAAGTTTTCTTCTGCAGAGCTATCTGCTTCTAAAGTTTAAAATAAGAGCTACTTAAAAGCTGAGAGATTAGAGCTCTGAGCGCTTTCTCTTCAGTGTTCAGATGTGTAAGAATGTCTTGGAATGCTTCCCTCAGGAACTAAGGCAATTATTAAGGCAGTAGGCATGGGAGGCTTTTTTAAAAATATAAGACGGCTGTCACAGACAAAGGATTTCTTGACATTTAAAAAAAATCATTTTGGGGACCATCGAGATGACTCGGCAGGCAAGGGTACCTGCTGCCAAGCCTGATGACGAGTTTGATCTCTGGGACCCACTTAGTGGAAGGAGAGAACTGACTCCTGCAAGTTGTCTTCTGACCTCCACTTGTGAGCCGTGGCACTTTACACACACAGATAAACAAACATAAATAATGTAATTTTTAATTTTAAAAAAATCACTTAATTATATATATATGAGTCTTTTGTCTGCTTGTATGTAAGTGCACTACGTGTATGCAGTGCCTCAGGAGGTCAGAAGAGGGTGTTGGATCTCCTGGAAATGGAGTTACAAATGACTGTCAGCTGGCATGTGGGTGCTGGGAACCAAACCCAGATCCTCTCGAAGAGAAGCACTCAGTCCCAACTGGCCTGGCCTGGAACTCACTATGTAAACCAGGCTGGCCTTGAACACACAGAGAGCCACCCCACCTCTGGCTCTGTAGCCAGTGCTTTTAACCACTGAGCCATCTCTTCACCCTCTAAAATTTTTTACAAATTATTTTTATAGGGCAGGGGAGTGACTTAGTGGTTAAAGAGCTTGCCACACAAGCATGAGATCATGAGGTTGAATGCTGGGTAGACATGGAAACCTGCTTGTAATTCCAACACTCCAAAGGCAGAGATGGGATCCCTGGAGCAGCTGGTCCATATCGGTGAGCTCTGGGTTCAACTGAGAGACCCTGCCTCAGCGAATTAGGTGGATAGCAAACGAGGAAGAGTCTTGACACCAATCTCAGGCCTCCACAATCCAGGAAGACTCTGGACATCAACTTCAGGTCTCCACATGCATCCACAGACATACATGTATACCATTACACATACAAACATGCCCACACAAGACATACCACACAGGCAAAAGAGAAAGAAAAAATCATTTTATAGCATTAAATAGAAGGAATGGACACCAGTGACGCTTGACATTTTGAAAATAATTTCTTTTCTGAAATGTCCCAGTCCTATTTCTAACGGACTCTTGGTCACCATTCAGAGAGGCAGCTTGGACCAGGGTTGGGAAGGTGGAGGTGGCTCTGGGAAGCTCAGGGTAGGAACAGGCAGCTCCAGGGACTGCTTTCTGTGAACTTCGCATGCTTTGTTACCTGAATATGGCAAGTGGCTAGAGAGACGGCTCAGCAGTTAAGAGCACTGGCTGCTCTTGCAGAAAACCAGGGTTCAGTTCCCAACTGGAGGCTTACAACCAGCAGTAACTCTAGTTCAGCGGGATCCGACACCCCCTCTGGCCTCTGCAAGCATTACACCCACGTGGTGCACTTACATCCAGGCAAAGCATTCATACATAAAATAAAAATAAATCAAAAAATTTTCTTAAAAAGAATTAACTCTCCATAGTCCAAAGGATGACTTTGAAATCACTCCTCTCTAACCACGCTCCATCTCTCCCAGCCAGATAACTTGCGAAGATGCGGTTTGGAGCACGCATACATAGGCAGCAAAGTTGTGCTTCAGGAATGGGCTCCCCATCCACAGTCTATGACAGAAGGCTGGAAATTGAGAGCAGACACTTAGAAACTTTCACATCAGTTTAACTAAATCATCTCTCAGATTGAATCATTGGAAAAAAAAGTTACTCTGTATGACTGTCAATTTCTCTAGAAGTTCATTTTTCTTGTATTTCAGGGAAGTATTTGTCAATGACTTAGAAATTAAAATGCAAAAACAAAAATAGTCCTCTGTCACAAATTGTTTGAGAAGCACTGAGCCACAGCACTTCAAGGTGATCTCAAACAATTTAGGAAGCACTGTGCCACAGCACCTATAGCTGATCACAAAGTTCGAGAGGCACCGTGCCATGGCTTTTGTATCTGATCACAGTTTGAGAAGCACTGAGCCACAGCACTTGGAGCTGTCACAGCACTCACAACTCTCTCTCTCCGTCCCCCCGTTCCCTCCCTCCCTCTTTCTTTCTCCCCCACTTCCCTCCCACTCCATCCCTCCCTCCTTCCCTCCTGTCTTTGGAAAGCTGGGACTGTGTCTAAGTCACCACAGTGACCTCTCCTCTGCTGGATGCTGTGGTGAGCTAAGAGAAAATGGTGAGGTGACCCTCCCATCTCCTTTTCCCTCAGGCCCAGGTCTCTTCTTCCCACCTGCCCAGCAGCATGAAGACAGCATGACTGGCCAGCCGCAGGAGAAGCCCCCAGAGCCAGGCTCCCAACTGCCGACGCCAAGGTGAGCTGGCCTCCTTTCTTCAAGGAAGGTGGAGGACATTTCATTTGAATGAATTTATCCCTCATGGTGTGCAGGAAGAATGGGATGTGCTGGGGAAAGGGTAGGCCTAAAAAGTGCGTGCTGGATGCACAAGTCCCAGGTAGGCTCAAGCCAGACACAATCTCAGCATAGGCATGGGGAGGTGGGTAAGAAACCCCAATGCTACCTGAGGAACTATTGCAACTGAGAGCTGCTGGGAAGGAGAGAGTCAGTCTCATTTAAGGGAGAGACTCTTGGTAGGCTGATCAGGCTCCAGTGGATGGACCAACACCAAAGGACATTTAGGGAATGCAAATTTGACTCTAAAGGCATGCATACATGAACTTGAAGGGGATAGTAAGGGGGGTGCAGGTAGGGGAGGGGACTTAAATATGATCAAAATATATTGTATAAAATTCGCAAATTTTTCAGTTTTAAAAAATGTGCATTCCCAGCACTTGGGAGGCAGAGGCAGGCAGATCTCTGTGAGTTTGAGGCCAGCCTGGTCTACATAGTGAGTTCCAGGACAGCTGGGGCTACAGGGAGACCCTGTCTTAAAAAGACCAAAAAAAAAGAGTGCATTCCAACACTGGAGAAAGGTGGCTCAGTCAGTAAAGCATTTGCCTCACAAACCCGAGAGCCTAAGTTTGCCTGCCCAGAATCCACGTTAGAAGCTTAGTACAGTGATGTGCCCCTGTGATCCCAGTGATGGAGAGCCCGGAGATGGAGACAGGTATATCCCTAGCGTTGGCTGGCTGGCTTAGCATACTTGGAGAAGTTCCAGGCCAGTAAGAAAGAACTCACAACTGAGTGTCTAGGATGGAGCTCTCCTTACACCACCACCTCCTGAGTCTGGGGCTTTGCACGGGTCTTTTAAGGAATTTTGAATGAAAGAATCTCTGGATTGTGGGACTGGAGAGATGGCTCAGCGGTTAAGAGCGCTGGCTGCTCTTGCAGAGGACCCACATTCACTTCCCAGCACACGCATGGCAGCTAACAACTGTCCATAACTCCAATTCCAGGGGTTCTGACACCATCCTGTGGCCTCTGCAGGTGCTGCACAACACAGGTGCACTTAAGTACATGCAGGTGATAGGACAGGATTGCAGTGACTGCTCAGTCTGTGATCTGGGATTCCTGGTACATGCCAGAGAGACTCCTGTCCTGTCCCTCACTGAAACTGAAAGGAATCTTAAATTCTAAACAGCTTCAGATAGCGCATTAGTTACTTTTGTTGCTCTGGTAAAATACGTGACCAAAGCAACTTAATGAAAGATGGGTTGTGTTTTGACTCCGATTTTAAGAATAGGTGTAGTCCCTTGTGGTGGGGAAGGTGGGACAGCAGGTGCATGAGGTGGTTGGGCATACTGTGTCCAAACTCAGGAAGCAGAGAGGGACAGATGCTGGTACTCAGCTTGCTTTTCTCCTTGTATTCATTTTGAGACCCTAGGCCATGGGATGGTGTCACCCACATTCAGGGTGGGTCTTCCCTCCTCAGTTAAAACCTCCTTGAAACACCCTGATAGATTCAAAGGTGTCTTTCCATGGTTCTTCCAAATTCAATCTGGTGACTGATGATTAACCATCATAATTGCTTGAAAAATTCTTCCTAGCAGTGGGATTCATTCTACTTCTCTGTGATTTCTGTCTATGAATCTCTGCACTGCCATCTGCAACCACAGACTCATCTCACTATGGAGACCAGGCTGGCCTCAATCTCACAGAGATCTGCCTGCCTCTGCCTCCCGAGTACTAGAATCAAAGGTGTGCACCACCACGCCCAACCCCCTTCTTTATATTTTATCTCTTCAATTTGTTTCTTATATATTCCATAACCCGTTGAAAGGATGATCTTTAATTGTTGGATTTGGTTTTTTTATATAATCATTAAAATGAGTTTTGTTTTGTTTTGAGACAGGGTCTCACTGTGTAGGCTGGAACTCACTATGTTTACCAAGCTGACCTTGAACTCACAGGGATCTGCCCACTTTTGCCTCCTGAATACTGAGATTAAAGGCATGAGCCGTCACGTCTAGTGGGATTGTTCTTTGTGCTATGCAAATCAATTATTATTTCCTTTCCTGATTTTGTTTGATTAATTTGTTAACTATTGAAAGAAATGTGTGGCCAGGGGTATGACTCAGTGGGAGCTCCCTTGTCTAGCATGTAGGAGCCCCTAGTTTCGATCCCCAGCACCTCCCTAGCATGCCACCTCTAAAGAGAGAGAAACATGTTAAAATTTCTCCCATGATTTGCCAGTTGCTCTTTGAGATGTTGAAATTTCTATTTTATGTATTTTAAAACCATGCTACTTGGAGTATATTGGTTTAGTTATTGCCTGTCTTGCTGGGTAGATTAGCACATGCCTATAATCTGAGGGCTGAGGCAGGAGGATCCCAAGTTCAAGGGCAGCCTGAGCCACTACTTAAGATTCTGGATCTAAAACACACACACACACACACACACACACACACACACACACAATATTTATTACATTATTTTAATGATGAATTAGGATTCGTCTGCACCATATTAATATTCTTTTAATTTTGTCTGTTCTTTCTTTTACATTGAAGTGATCCACCCTCATTTCTGTTTTCTGTCTTCCTATTTAGAACCTGCATGTTCTGTATCTATTTTCAATGGTTACCCCAGATATTTTAACAGCCATACTTAAAGTCTAAAATTAACCAGTGTCTTTCCCCTCCTCCCAAACAATACAATAACCATAGACAGATTTAATTTTAATCACTACTTTTCCCAACTTACATACTATAATTTTCTTGTGTTTTCCCTTGACCCTATTTTTCCCTTACAAATTAGACACCCTTGCTTTACATAGTGTTGATATAGATTTACCTGCACGTTTATCCATATTCTTCTCTCAAATTCTGTGATCATTCATTCATGAATCTGGGATCATTTCTCTTCTCTCTGAAGCACATCCTTTAACATTACCCTTTAGTGGAGGTTTGTTGGTGACAACTCTCAAGATTCTTAATGTTTCGAGGTTTTTGTGGTAGTGGTGGTTTATGTTATTAGTTACTTTTCTTGTTCTTGCAAAAGATACCTATCTAAAGCAACTCGAGGAAGGAAGGGTTGACTTTGGCTCACACATGAAAATACGATCTGTCACGTAGGATAGTCATGGTGGCAGACCATGAAGCACATGTTCACACTGCATCCACAGTCAGGAAGCAGAGAGATGGTGCTCAACTCACTTTCTCCTTTTTATTCAGTCCAGGACCCCAACCCATGGCATGGTGCCACTAACATTAAGACATTTAGAATGAGTCTTCCCACCTCAGTTAACCTAATCTATGTAATCACTCACAGATATGCCCAGAGACTTGTTTCCATGGTGATTCTAAATCCCATCAAATTGTCAATTATAATTAACCATCACGGTGTGGGAATGCCTTTATCTTGCCCAGATTTGAAAGATGACTTTCTTACATAATTTTCCTTGTGTTGTTGAAATCATTATGTCACAGCTGGCACTGGCTGTTGCTGTAGAGAAATTGACTCTGCTTAACTGCTGTTCCTATGGTCAGACACATCTCTGTGACTACATTAAGGATTATTGTTTGTATCTGTGTTCTGAAGTGGCATTATAGTGTGTTAGGTATAAATTTCTACCTTTATTATGCTTGGGTTTCATTAGGATTTCTAGAGCTAAAGATTCATATCATTAAATAATTCCAGATTAAAAAAAAATTTTTTTAATATGTATATACCTGAGGGTATGTATGTGCACCACATGCCTGCAGATGCTTTCAAAGGTCAGAGAGGGCATCAGAATCCCTGGAACTAGAGTCCCAGGCACTTGTGAGCCACCCACTGTGGGTGCCGAGACTTAAACCTGGGTCCTCTGCAAAGCAGTGAGCTCTCTTAACCACTGAGCCATGTCTCCAGTCCCAATTCTGGAAAATTTCCACCTCTCGTTTCTCAGTAGTCTCGCTCCCTGCTGGGCCCTCAGTTTCGTATTAGACCCCTCTGTGTTCTGTGTTTGTGATTTCTGTTTTTCAGCCCTTTGTCTCCTTGTGCGAATTTCTGAGTCATTTCTTCAGATCTGCCTTTTATTTAGATATGTTTTCTGTGTCTCAAGTGCTGTTTAAACCATCTGTTGAATCTTTTTTCCTTTCACTTCCTTTATTGATCATATCTAGAAGTTTATTATTTTTCTAATCTGTTTGGTGATGCTTCTGGTCTCTCATTTTCTTGCATATATTTGAAGAATTTTATTTCTTTAAAATGATGAGTTAGCTGTTTGCAAACTCTCTTGTCTTGTATCTGATCATTCCTGAATCTGAGGTCTCTGCAGGTCTAGCTCTGCTACCTGTTGCTTCTGTCAGCTGGTGTGTATTGTGCCTTGTTCCCTGCTGGCTGCTTGCTCCCCTTGGAATTGTATCTTTAGGAATTGTATTGGTTACTTGTGTTGTTATTGCAACCACATACATGACATGAAGCAACGTAAGGGAGGAAGGGTTTCTGATGACTAAGTTTGGAGAATACAGACCATCATGGCAGGGAAGTTGTGGTGGCAGGAGTCTGGAGCAGCTGGTCACATGGCATCCAGTCAGGAGGCAGAAAGAGAGAGATGAAGGCTGATGCCTAGCTTGCTTTCTCCTTTTATTCAGTCCAGGAACCCGGTCCACGGGATGTTGGCTCTTCCCATGTCAGTTAAACCTGCCTGGGAATGCAGTCAGATGCATCCAGATGTGTGTCCTCTAGATGATTCTAATATCCTGTCAAGTTGATAATGGCACATTTGTACCAGATCAGTAAAATGTATACTTTAAATTTACATTTACCACACTAGTTGTTTCTTTTGTTTTTGTTTGTGTTGTTATTATTTGTTTTGGAGACAGGGTGTCACTATGCATTCCTGGCTGGCCTGAAACTGGCCATATAGACCAGGCTGGCCTCAAACTCAAAGACGTCCATCTGCCACTGCCTCTGAGTGCTGGAATTAAAGGTGT